GTTGGACTTTCAGTAGCTGGCTTGGGAACAGAAATTTCAGAGCGGGGGAGGAGTCGAGTGCATTGAAACAAAAACCAAAGACGGTTTTGTTGTGCCTTCATGCTGGTTCCCCTCTGTCTCTCAAGGAACTGGTGAGACTTCCCCAATCCCATGAAGATTCCTCAGAGAAATCTGGCATTTATCAAATTTAAAATTCTTCTGATAGTTTAGGTTTTTCTTTTACTTGCTTCATAAGAGCCTTGGGAAATGGTCGTTATTTAAGACTTCCTTCCTTGATTAATAATGGCATGTAAATGTTTAGAAATTTGCTGGATGTCAGCTTAAGTAGGAAGAGCTGCTCAAGTGGGAGCAGTTTTCCCTGCAGGTACTAATCTTTGGAAATGCGGTTCTCACAATTACCTTTTCCCCTTGTGTGGAGACAAATCAAAAGCATGATGTGCATACCATGCATTGGTTTTTGTGGCACGGGAATGGTGTACTGTGGTGTCTTTCAAGCCAGCTCCAGTCAGGCTGTGTGGCACTGAAATCGCTGCAAGAAACTCCCTGCTAAAAATAAATCAAGACCGTTCCATTTTAAGTGCGTTTACTTCAGCAGTTGGTCTCGATTTTGGAGATTCCTGGCAGATTCCTGAGGGAAAGGCGCTGGTGGATTTGGCGATGCTGATGGAACACGGGATTCCAGAGCCTGGCTGCAGAGTTCTGTCTGTCTCTTGATGGTGGTTTCTTGTTTGTCAAAGCACATACATCTAATGCCTTGATGTTCGTACCTCAGGCCACCTAGAGTATCTGCAGTTTCCTAGAGAAGAATGCTCTTGTTATTGTAAACTGTATTTTGTTATTGTAAATTGTATTATTAATTCCTCTTTTTTTAAACTGTAAACATGGATTTAAGTTCCATTACAGACCCTTGGGTCTTTTATTCCATGTCTCTGATCTGCATTTTATCAGTCATCTTTGATCCTTCATAGTATCTCTTGTTCTGCTAGGATCAGGATGAGTGCAGCTGCGTGTGTCTGAGCTGATACTCCACAACAGGTACTACAGGGTGTCTGTTACTCAGGTACCTTTTTCCTCACAGTGAGGAGATCACCCGTTGCTTTGAATGTGCTGCTGTAATGATGGCTGTGCTCTTGCTTAAATTATTCCTTTGCAGAGTCTCTGCTGTTTCAGACCAGCATGTGTTACTGTGCCTGCAAGTAATTCCACATTATATTGTCAGCATGGTTATAGAGCTTTGCAAATTTTCAAGAGCTGGTATGCGTTAGCTACAGTTCATTTTCCAAAGTAAACAGCTAGTTGGCGTACAGCAGAGAGCTTCTATAGAAGACAAAAATAGACCAAAAAGTGAGTCCATCCCCTTACTTGGCTTTAGTTGTTACACTTGAGTGTCACGTGTCTGCGTTCATACCTCCAGTACTTATTTTTTGGGATACACAGGTTCTCTAGATTCCTTTCATTTATACATTAATTATCTTTAAATGGCTCTTGCTAGACTGCAGCAATGGTTTCCCAATCCTCACTAGCTTGTGCAGAGCAGTACTGAGCGAGTGATGTGCTGCTGGCAGCAGCATACTGCACCCTCCTTCAGCAGTTTCAGTCTTAGTTTAATTTTCTCAGGCAGCAAGCCATGTGTTCAAGGGAGACGGACTCCCATCAGCTTGGGATGTTTCTGCCCCAGCTCTAGTGAGAGATGAAGCCTCCTCTAGCACTGCCGTGAGAAGGCGAGTGCCCTGTTTCACAGGGATGTAGGAGAGAACCTGTTTTTCTACGGCCGCTCAGCCCCATCTCTGCAGGCAGCCAGACAGGATTACTCAGCCCGGCATGCTTTGTATTGCAGTCTGTTCCCATACTACCTCTTTTTTTAAGCCAGGAGGGTCTCATATAACATCAGAGCCCTGCTCTGACCCAAGAACTCGCCCTTCCTCCTGGCAGTGAGGGGAATTTAAAGTTTTGGGGTTTTTTAAGAGCTCCTATACAGCTTGGTCCCTGAATTTTTCAGGTTGCCCTGGATCCCCACAGGCCCTATGAAACAGATCACTGCAGCACCTGAGAATTTTCTTTCCTGTAAACAAAGTATTGCTGGATCTGGTTTATGGGCTCAGGCAAGTTCCCTTCTGAAGCCTTGCCCTACCAGTGGGATGGAGCTGATGCGTGATGTCTGAAGCATGAGAGTCACGCTCCTGACAAAGGAAAGGGGTGATGGAACTTGGCATTCAGAAAGAAAGCTGTTGCAAAGCAAGCCAGCTATCTTAAATATACATTGACAAATGAGGACTAAAATATGGTGATTTACTGCCAAACCTATTTGGCAGCTTCTTTCCAGTTTAGGCTTGTTGGTTATCAGATACTTGTGAACATAAAATGAAATAACATATGATTGACAATTCTTAGCTAGTTGATTCCAGGACAGATTTCTCTGTTGTTGAAGGCACACTTCTGTGCATGGGCTTCTCTTGGAGCTGCTGCAAACACTGCTGTTAACCTGTGTAAGAGCAGTGACTGTTCCCGTCTGACAGCACACTTGGTTCTCTTCCTGGGACGTTTGGAGAAATGTCGGCAGCAGCATTTCCCTTTGCAGGGACTGGAGCTGTTTCCAGGTGATCTCCACATGCGGCTGCTCGAGCTGCTCTCCAGTCTCGGGGGGGGGCTCCATTGGCTGCGATCCCTGGTGTGAAGAACTGATTATCCAAAAGCCCCGACTGTCCCTGGAGCTCTGAAACAGTTACATTGGGTCCCTTGTAGTTTTAAGTATTCTGTGAATTGCTCCTTTCAAGAAAACAGGGATGTTCACGCATTTTCTGATCCGGACAAGTGCAAACACGGAGAGGAGATCATGTACTGAGCTTACAGCTACCAGGGGTGACGCTAATGAAAGCGATCTCCGTAGCACTCTCGTTTCCTGCCTGCCAGCATTGCTTATTTGAGATACGGTGCCATAGCAAGTGCTGGGTAAACAAGATGATTGTTTCTGCTGGATGATCTTAAAGCTCTCCTAACTGTCTGCTGAAAATACTTGCCCATTGCAAGGAAATGACTGTTTTGTTTGTGTTGAGAGGAGTGGGAAATGACGTGAACACTGAACTGTTTTTCCTGGTATTTTTAAGAGGAGGTATATACACTATCATCTCAGGTCTTATTTCCAAAAGGCATTCAGTGTTTTCCATAACCCTATTAAGTAAGTACGAGAGGTATGTGCATGCATATATATATGTATATATATGCATCATAAAATATATATCTTGCATATCCATCTGGTAAAATTTTACTAGCATCTCCCTGTAACCATGCTGTAATGTGATTTGAGATATTCCCCCTTGCAGTGCTGAACTGAAACTGTTCTCAGGTCTCATTTTTCCCAACACTGGAATAAATTTGTGATTATACAGTGTGCTGTAATCTCCCTGAAAAAGGAAGAAGTCAAAATTCACACTTGTCATTATTATTTTGCCCAAGCACCAGTTTTATCTGCATCTGCTGAGTTATACTGTGCATTTAATCTTTTTTATCTGTGTATTTCTCCTTGCTTGCCCTTGAAAAAGAAATGGTCCCATGTTCTAGTCTTTTTAGTGGCTGAGAGCTCTTTGTTACTGATTTCTTTGGTCAAGGTGTTTTCTAAACCAACTGCTTCTAAATTCCTTGATAATGAACACTGGCACACTGCATCTCTGTTGTCCTGCGATCTCGCTTCCCAAGTCTCCTATGTGCGCTGTCCCACAGGACTAAGGCATCTGCGGGTGTCAGGACTTGCTTATAGTGACTTGAGTTCCAGGATGTAGATTCTCTCTCTTCTGTACAAGTGCCTGGCAAAACATGGTCCTGGCCATGGCTGGAACTCCAGGATCGGGGGGAAGAAAAGGTTTGGTTTGTTGTTCTTTTTAATCAGCTTGGACCTTCAAGACATGGTCTTTGCATGAAGTCCTGCTACTCTGGCCCACATAAAAGTGTCGGTGTTGCAATACAGAACAGCCAGGCTAAGCACCACACAGCAGTTTTATCTGTTCCATTCCCTCAAGAAGAGCCAGGTGAAACCACCTTGTGAAAATCAGAATTAGCAGTGTAGGTGCTAACAAAGAACAGTGAAGCAACGCAGCTCTACAGTGGCAGGAAAAGGCTGCGACCCAAACAGAGCCTGTGTAAGCAGGGGCAAGCGTTGTGGCTGCAGCACAGGCTCTGGAACACTTGGCTCTCTAACCAGTTAGGAACCTTTTTTTTTTTTTAATGTTAATGTTTGACTCTTTATCATCTGACCCTGATAGATGACACAATCTCAGCTCTTCTGATAATCAAACTAAAGTAACATTTTATTGCCCTATAGAGACTGACTTAGTTGTATTAAAGAAAAATGTACAGCGATTAACAACTTAACTTAAATTCAACCTTTTTTTGTTTTTTAAACAACCCATTTCTGCATGGTTTCTTTCTACTTCCATGCATAAACAGAAAAGTGACCCATAACATGCAAGGGGAAAAAGTTTAATTTCCAAAATGTTTCTTACATAGATCAGAGCATATCATATAGACTTCTTATGAAGATTTGTGTGTATGAATCAAATGCAGTAAGAGTGGCCCTTGAGTAGAAACATTTTTAAACTTAACATCTCGACAATGAAATGTCAAATGAAGGGAAATAGTTGTTATATGAAACAAATGTTCACCTAGAATATAAAACTGTAATTTAAGCAGAAGTTTCTGATACAGAAGAAATCCCCCCTCTTAGCTGTGGGGGAAGGGAAGGTGCAGAGGAACACCCTTGTTGCTACACTTAAGTTTGATCTCTAAAATAGAAAAAAAAATGCAGGATTTTATATTAGCATGCCATGCAAATTCCACTTCCGTCAACACATATTGCATGCATCCCTAAGAAATGAAAGGATCTGCTTACAGAATTTGTTTTTATTGTCTAAAATCGTGATACAAAATGGCTGTTGCAGAAATTATTTCCCCAGGTAAGAAAATGAGCATTCAATGATATATTTGTAATGAAGTAAGGAATTTGAGAATTACTTCTTCACCTAAAATTCAGGTTTATTTCATAGTTTCACTGATGGAATTTTTAATTTTCTTCAATGATTAGTCATGACTCCCATCCTTCTGGTATGTATACAGAAGTGTTATGCACCAGCCTCAGCATGTACAACCACAAGCCAAATGAATATTTTACATAAGACAGTTTGCTTTTATAGTGATCACGCACTGATGTGAACATAGACTAAAAATAACAAATGTTGCTTTAATAAGGATTTTTTACAGTAGACGTAAATATAAAAGTTTTTCAAATTATTTTCACAGGTATCACTGAACATTTCATAGCTGTCTGTTACAGAAGCACCGAAAAGTGCTTTGAGTCTTTCATTTATTATACATAGTTAAAATATATTACACTTCTGAAGGTATCTTAAATCACTGAACAGTTTTGCTAACGTCTTAATGAGCCAAATGGGAGTAAAAGGCAGTCCACATTCATGATGTGAATATACAGTAAGGTGTTTGACATCCTATTAACTCATTGCTCATGTTCTCAAAATAACCATGGTGATGAGACCTGAAAGACAAGAATTAAGAACTAGACACTTTAATTTCACTGAATAAAACATTTAAAATAAAGACAGTTTACCCTGTCACAGGCCAGAGAATAAGGTAAAAAGTACATAAACACATGCAGAATGAATTTATTTATACGCTTAAATAGTGGAAGTATTGCTCTGAATGTTGATGTAGTCAAAATCTGTGTAAAAATGACACTGAAGTGCAGTATATCTAGTAAGTAAACTTCAAAGAAGCTATAAACACTCCAAACAATTATCAGTCTCGCTACTAGAAGGTATTAACATTGAGATTTTTGACTTAGGGAAATATAACACTAGCATGCAAGCCACCAGTTTTCATGGGGGCATTTCAAATGCCAAAGGCAGATTAGCTGAAGGCTCCAAGACATTTTTGTTTCTGCTCTGTGCAGAATAATTGATCAAAGACCAGTTTTAGACAAAGATGTTAAGCTTTCTTGTCAGTCTGCATAGGGAGCTTTCTACAGACTCTTTGTTGTGACCTTTAAAGAGGGAGGGGGAAAAAAAAAAGAACTGCTCTGATAGAGGTTAAAAACAATTAAAACCAGATGAAAGTAGGAAATGTGGGGCTAATAAACCTACTCATGACACACTGAAAAGTTCACTCTAATTATGTGCAGATACCAGAAAAAGTACAAATCTGCAAGTTCTTAGCCATGAGTTATATTGCACAAGGCAAAGAGGCATATGGAAAAACATCAGGGCTCCCTGAATTCCAACCTTATGTAACACCAAAATAGTAATTTATCAGTTCTTAGGCAATCTTACTTTCTTGCAGGCTCAGATGATGTTAATATAACAGCCTTTCACTGCAGAGAGCTTAGCTAAAGCCTACAGATCTCACCACGGATAAGAAAATTTCTGAGACCATTTTACTGTCCTGCCACTACGCGCTGATTTAACTGACTGACTTCATAAAGATTTTGAAGGTAGAAGCATGACAGACCAGAGCTGTAATGCTGCCTTCCATTAGATAAGCAATTTATCCATTAAAGAGGAAAAGTTCAGCTATTTCTTAAGGTCTGTATTAGCTTAGACAATCAGCACTACCAGAATGGCTGTAGGCCTTAGCTTGGATTATCTAAATCATTGCAGAGTAGTAACAGAAGCTTCTAGAAGGTGCTACAGGACAGCCTGTACCACTTGTGCAGGGACTTCAGGCAATAAAGAGTTTAACTCGTTGCTGTAAAGCAAACACTTCTCAAATGTCATACAGCCCAGTTGGTGTGGTGTTAACCTCCCTTTTCAATGAAATGCAATGCAACCCAGTTGCACTTCATTGTGGAAGAAAGTCATTTCATCTTCTCAAGGGCAATCAACTCTCTAGAGGAGCAACAGTTGCATACTGATGAAGAATCATGTACACTAAAACCACTGCTACCGAAGGAATCAACGCCTCTAACAACTTCATAGTGAAGCTAGAAACACGTAAGTTGTTGCAAACGTATGAAGTCAAATGGTTTAATACTATAGCTGGCACCAGTAGACAGTGGAGTAATTTTTGAAACTAGAGATAAAAATAAAGGAGGGATTACTGCAAGGTCCTCATCTGAAAACATATCACCATCGGCTCCAGCAAAGATGTGGGCTTCTGATTAGCAATAAGGGAGTTTTCAAACCATTTCAGCAGGCTGACTTGCATGAGTCAGCCAGTTGACTGAGTGTGCGCATTAACCATCAAGAACTTGCATCTTTTCCCATCACTACCTCACCTCTAGCTATCAGTTTGAAGCTGCCTAGCTCGTTTCCTTTAAATCCTCATTTCTGCCAGGTAGTGGGACAGGAGAATTGAGTTTAGAGTGACTGTTCTTCAAATCTGGAATAGTTATAGAAAAATAGTCATAACAGATGAAATGTGCAACTTAACTTATCTATGCTTGCTAATTCAGAAGCAAGTTAAAAATCAGGAAGAATTGTGGATGGTAGTGGTCTCTTAGGAAAGGTTTACGACAATTTATTTCTATACATTTCAACTGCTTATCAACAAAGTAGTGAATGGAGCCTTTCAGACCAGCTCAGCTGAGTGGGAGCAAGAAATAAAGTAAAAGAAGAGATCTAGGTGCTGCAATAGAGTAATTCTCTATTTCAATATAAGAATAAGAAACAGCATGTTCCATTCAGTTTTGTTGGCAGATGACTACAGTTGGCCAGTCATCAAATGAAGGCAAAATTAACATGTAGGGGCCTGTATATAATATCGACTAAAATCTGGTCTAAAATCCTTACAGTAACTAGTTTATCCTGATAGCACTATGGCTGCAAGTTAAAATATAAATGGAGATGCAAACCAAAATGTAATGTGGTGCTTTGTCTCCATCAGGTTTCCTGTAGCCACTGGCAAACACAGGAGAAGTTTCTCAAATCACAGAAGTTGCAAGAAAACATTTACAAAATCCAAAATACTTACCTAAAACATAAGCAGCTACTAACTTTTGATTCACACTTAAGTGGAGGTAGAGAGGCACCAGGGATTCCATTTCCCCCAATGTAGGTAGCATTAGTGCTGCAATACAAACTATTCCTAGGAAGACTGTTAGTAAACTAGGTCCCGATGAGGCAGTTCTGTTTTCTGAAAAACAAGATGGTACCAATTGTAAGGAACATCTACCCAATGTAAGTGTTAAATATTCTCCAAAAATGTTTGCAGTACATGGGAGCTGCAATATCCTGAGATTTTCTTTTCCCTTTGGAGGGTGTGGAAAACAACTCTTAAACCCACCCTCCTAAACCTTCTGTATCTTGCAGTGGAGAAGGCTGCTCCCTGTTCTGATGCTGGAACTTGTTTTCACATGACTTCCCAAACGCCTCCCTTCTGGAGGAACAGAGCCTGCCAGGCCCAGTAGCTATATATACACACTCATGACAGCTGGATGTTTCAGCAACGCTTGAGGTTTCACCACGCATCCTGACTCCATTTCTTGGTATGTTCCTTCAGTGATTAGTAATAAATTAGGAAAGAGCACCTCAAGGAGCTGCACAGGCAGATAATGCTGCTTATGCCTCCAGAATAAAACGTGGCTACACAAAGAGCACAGGTTCTCAGTCCAGATCAGTTCCCCCTCTTTCCTTAGAGGATTCAAGGGCTGCACCTGCCAGAACCAGCTTATGTGCCACAACTTAGTAATATTAGAGTCTTACTTTAAAACCTGTGAGAGTGAACCATTCTGACAGTTCAGTATCACCAGAATAAGGAAATGAAACTATAGATGAACTATCCGTCATACTCTTTATTGCGCTGCAGTTTAACAGCTGGAACCTACTCAAAGGCACACTCTGTAATCTTTGAAAAGAGCTGATAACATTAGTTCAATACCTCTAACCAAATTCTTAAGACCCATGGGAAGTTAGCCAATGTTGTTATCAAGTTTTTCTAACCTCAGCAACTAGCAATAAGTGTCCTGTTTTAATTCCATAAATCTGATATTTCTAGGTTGTAGGTTATATGCAAAGGCTGGAGTTGCTTTGTTTACTGTTTATCTGTAAGCAAGCAATACAATGTAGTCAACAAGGTTTTTAAGGAGAGAAATAGCATTTGGATTAAGACCAGTATCAGATTGTTCTGGATGGTTCAAACCCTCTGTACCAGAACAATCATCACAGTAACATTTTGTTCTGTGAGTGGGGAGATCTTGTAGGTTTGCTTTAACCATGTATCCTAATAGCTATCTTGAGGGGGTTTTGAAATGCCACGAAAAGGTGTTTTCACCAGCCCACAAACTATGTATAGGTGAAACACTTTGGTTTTAACAAGAGGAACACTCTCAAACAGGTTTGTCTATTTTATGGAATAGATTTTTGTTCTTGTCATGAAAAATAAAAGTGACAAGAATATTACAGTATGAATCAGTAAAAGTAACAAAGTGGTAGACTGTCAAGTCAAGAACTAGTTTAGATTCAGTGCTGGTAAAACTGATACTTTTTATCTTTCTCCCTACCACTTCAATTTAACTGTTAGATCCAGGTTTTGCTTAAGACTGTTGATTCGCTTCCTTATGTATGAAAGAGTTTTCAGCTAGCAACTGTGCTTTTCTGTACTTGTGAGACAGACCAATGAGATGGTGCAGAACAAGGAGCACTTTAGATGATGTTTTGGCAATATTTCCTGCTCATCAGGAAATGGAGGATGAGGGGTTTAGAACAACCTCAGAATGGGCGTAGGTTCTGAAAGAGCCCAAGGGAAAAAATAACTACCATCCTTTTGCAGATAAATTCCCATTGGCTGTAACAGAACTTCTGCATCTGAGGAACAGAGGATGTACTCTCCGAGGTATGACGTGCAAAGCTGGGGCAGCAAAGGGTCTTGATTAATCAAGACAGCATAAGCAGAATAGCCATAGTTTGGGTTCTTGGGCACTATCATTCCCCAGTGATGCAGACATCAGTCTTACATGTAAGTAAAAACAATTATTTTAAAATTTATTTTAGTCTAGGCTTTCTAGTCCCTTGAGCTATTCATAACTGATTCAGAAGACAGGAGGGGTAAAAGATTTCAGCTACCTGGTTGACACAAAGTCTGCTCAAAAAAGACACTTTCAGTCAGGTGTTCTTTTATTCGTTTTTCCTCCTCTTCCTTTTGTTGTTGTTGTTCCTTTGCAGATGGAAGCAGAGTAGCAATAATCTCCTTTTTCCCTAATGCTTTCCTCTGGCTCTGCTCAGACACTTGTAGACGGAATTTATCTATCACACCATAGTAAGAAGCCCGAACATCTCTGTGACGAATCACACTGCAGAAGAAAACATTTTCAAACAGAGGAACTAATAAAAAGCATATGTCCTGTGGAATTACACCCTACATCCCAATGTCTTCCCCTTTCCCCCATACACAGACACACTACCATACTACAGATCCCCATTCCCTCCTCAATCACTCAATGTTCTTGAAGATTTGATCTTGCCTTCTCTCTTCTCTCCCTATGTTCGCTCCGGTTCTCAAAAATATTGGCTCCAATTGTCTGGCCAAAAAGAACAGTTAAATATTTACCTCAAGCACACCTTTGCCTCAATCTGAGGCCTAGCTGCCGATTTGGATGAAACATCAATTATCTGAAAGATGCCTCCTCTTTTATCAAAGTCATTTGATGTTGGCCACTGATTTTAAAAGCTATGAAGGGACTGGAGTGGACAGGGAAGGAAAGAGATAAAGTGAGACTGCCAAACACTTGGACAGATGATGGCAAAAGTCTAGCTTTTTCAGGAAACCAGGCTCAGAGCTTTACAATTATACCTTCTCAGAAGGAAAACCTCAATTCTCCTTACATTCTAGAGTCAGCTAGATGTGAAAGGATTTTCAAAATCAGAAGCCCACCATTAAGAGCATGTAACACTGCAGTAAAAATGACTACGTATCTATGTAAACATTTCTCACCTGTCTTTCAGTGAGTAAATCTGGTTATCAATAGTAGAGCTCTGTGCTGTCAATCAAACTACCCTGAGCACGTTTGATAGGCTGCATTGAAATGCATTATGCTGTAGATACTTCACTTGCTACCAAGAGCTATGCCGGGTGTAGCTACACAAGCTGCAATTGCAACTCAGACTGTAGCGTAGTCATGTCCTCTGAATTATAGCTAAAGAGTCAGTTATTTTCTTGGTATGCCTTCTCACTGTCCAGCAACCATTCTGTTACTCTACTGTTTTGAATACGTTGACCAAGATGGCTTCAACAGTAGGACAGGGTGATAGCTGTTGCATTCCTTCTAGCTTTACGGCATTTCATGGGAAAAATTGTATGTGGGACCTACAAAAGGCACAGTTTTAAAACAACACTGATCAAAGGCAATACAGACCTCTGAGCAGTGCTCTGCACAACTGCCTCCTCTCTGCATTTATGATTCATTATGAAAATACATATCTACCATTAAAAAGCTATAACATTTAGGTTTTGAAGTCATATCAGCTCTTAGGATTAATATAGATTTTAATTATTTTTCCAAAGTGGAAAACTTTTTTTTTGTGAAAAGCTATTCTAAATTTCTAAGATAACTATAGCTAATCTGACAAAATACCTACATAAAAGTGATTTGACTTCAAGAAGGATGCCATCTCCTGAGGGGAAAAAAATTATTCTACCTTTAGTAATACAGGATTGTAGTCTTAAAATTGCTTCAAGAAACCTATCTTTGTGATAATATATACATTAAACTGCTGCGAGAATCTGATTTTTGTGTTTCAGTATTTGTTTACAGGAACTACATCACATCAAGATATCTACAACCCTTAACACATAGCCAGTGCTTGTAACTGGTATCTAGTTTGATTAGACTATTCAACAAGGAAACAGAGACCAAGTCATCCCCAAGTGAGAAGGCTGCCGGAATGTATGTAGTTTTACGTCACTTGAGGCAAAGAAGTGCTTATGACTGGCTTTTAGCAAACTGAGTGTTGGCTGGGCAACTGCCTTCACTAAAACAAAAGGCTTTTTCCCCTCTGACAATCCTAATTCATACAACTCCCAGCATATCGGAACAGCAGATTGAACTCTTATTTCTTCCTTTAACGCTTCCTTTTAAATTTTTGTTTCTATTCTTAGTACCATGGTACTAACCACCAACCTAAACGGAATCTTTACATAACACTGTGCTATGAGAACATGCATCTGCTGCCAAGCAGAGAGATGTTTTCTGCAGACCCTTATAAACAGATACATTCTCCTGTTTCTTTTTAGAGACCATTGCATAATTGGAAGCTCTGTAGAATATCTGTTTATCTGGCAAATGGCCATACTTGCATAGTACTGCTCATATCCTAGGAGTAAACACTGCCCTTAGACAGCAACCATTGGAATGGGATGGGGGGTTTGCGGCACAAAAAATTCCCTTGGAAACATGCATATGTCGTATTTTCCTCTATTTAATAAAAGACACTTGTTTAAGATGAACCAAATATATTCGAGCTTGCATAAATGTATGTTAAAGACTGGAATACCTCACTAATACACTGGTATATTCTGACCTGTTTTGTTCTGGTTCTAGGATTGTTACTCCTGCCCATCGAAAATTTTACTTCCATGTTTTAAACTTCCTTTCTATTTGGTGAGTCCTTGGAATTTTCCAAATTACACCCAAGGAAAACAGTCTACAGGAAAGAGCCATTCCCCAAGCACAGTATTATTTATCTGACAAGGGACGGATCATTCAATAGCAGGGGGTTTGTATATGGCCATTTGTTAGCTGAAGATTCCACAGGGTGTTTTACAGTTTGCAAATTTGTACTCAAAAAGCTCAAAAAGGTACTTCATACTTTCTTTAGCTGTACATCAGCACAGAAATAATGTAGCAAATGAAAAAAAAAAGGGAAAAAAAGATTAAAAAAAAGAGGGCTATTTTAGCTTATATACCTACTGTACTTTGAATTATAGCAGCCTACAGACCCTACACACTATTGTGGTCACTTAACTGGCCTTTATCTTTTCTCTGTTACTGGACTGGGACCTGACAGAAGAAACAAATAAAGGGGAGACAGAGAGATCTGAGAATGAGAGAGGCAGTTGGCGTGAAAGGTAGGCAAAAGTACCTTTATTAAACACGGCCCAGGAAAGCGTGCTCAGTAGAGCTGCATACATTTTCATTTTGCCCATCTGCAAACAAGTATTTCTCACAAAGAAATCCCAGCCCTGGAGGTCTTGCTTTTCTTGTTAGAAATAACAAAAAAAAGTACTCAGAGGAGGTTCACATTACTCTGACTGCTGGTTTACAAACTATACTACATTTACTAGCATTTTATTTATGCCCAAAGACAAAACTAAAGGAGGAAATATCTCTAATATTGTAATATCTCTGCCCTAGAGTGAAAGAATAGCAAAGACCAGGTGGCCACAAGAATATAAGATATTAGGAAAATATTACATCTTTATCCAACTTAGTTTATACTACGCACGCTGTCATTTACTGACTCTTAAATAATAAAAGAAATCAAGGTAATACTTACATATCAACACAGCACTGAGGCTTCACTGCACCAGTAGCATCAACCACCGCATATTTATTTGGAGTTGTACAAAGAACTGCAATGAAAAGGACAGTGGTGGTAACAAATCATGAATTAATACCTCACTGACTTCATCAACAGATATAGGTAAAGACATGAGTTTGGTTTTGTCACAAATATGATTTGTTGCATGAATTATAATTGGACTGTTCAAGATCACCAACTAGCCCTTAAATAAAACTTAACCTAGGAAACCCACCTTTGAATTTTAAGGCAAACTCATAGGGGTTATATAGAGTCAACACCTGCTTGTGTGTTGACTGGTCATCTGCATAAAATATAAGTTCTGTAGGAAAAACAAAAACAGGAAGATTTCCTTCCACTAACTCTGGCTGTCTTTTTTGTTGCTGCATTGGCACTGAATCCTCCTTGCTGCTTCTTGTGTTCTTATGATTTTGTATCCTCAGAGACTTCAGTTTTTGAATCGTTTAAGAATTCCAAAGCATTTTGGCAATTCTAAAGGAAAAAAGGGGAAAAAAAGAGAAAAGGCAAGAAGATTATTTTCATAAGTCTATACTAAACTGAGGCAGTCAACAAAGGTGTAAAAATATAAATCTTGGTCCTTAGTTGTGAATCTACCTTTACTTAAGTTCCTTCATAAATACAGAAATAGAAAAAAATATTTGCATCAGGTTTCCATCTATTTAACGAACTGCTATAAAATAAATGGATAAGCACTTTTTCAGTGCATGATGACAGCATTTTGGGGTCCCAGTTGATGACAAGAGCTGCTTGTTCTAGGTCTGTGCAACACAAACCAAACAACAACAAGAAGATACACCATCCTTGCCTCAGAACACTAACACTTGAGAAAAAAACAGAGCAGAAATGAGGAAACACAAAGATGTAGGGCAGCAGTAGTCACCATTTAGGCAGGAATCTCTGTGCAGTGACGACCTTCCCGGATGAGGGATAACAACTTAGGTATCTGCTCACATAGGCATTGAGGTATGTCAAATCCCAGAGATTCAGAACAAAAGAATGGGGAACACCTTCATGCCTTCTTTAAACTAAGCTCTTGTTACAATTGCATGGTAATTATAGGCAATGAATTGAAAAATAACTGGGATGAATAATAGCAAACAGATTTGGGATTTACTATTTGATTAAAAAATAAGACAGGTTTTCTACCACCGCTGTCTCTAACCAAAGTATAACCATTGTCATTCTCCCTCTGCCACTCCCCCAGTTTTGTTTTATTTTGAGTGATGTCCCAGAACTAAAACCAGAACCCATGACCCAATCAAGCAACAATCCCAAATGTATTTCATAAAATAAAATTAAGGCCAGACTTGTCAGCACACATACCATTGACTTTACACACTACAGACAGAACAAAGTGAAACAGCTACATATATCCCCCCCCCCCCACCCCCAA